AAATAAGCTTCGTTCAACCAATTTGGAACGATTTATAAGACGGATAAATTTTCGCTTACGCGTTAATAGCTCGAATTATATCGCGCGCTAGTTGTCCCAAATTGGTCAAAATGGCCAAAATGGCAATCTTTAGATCCCTCGTACTTTTACAAAAAATAATCACAGGTGAAATAATTTTTCAAATTTAAGCTCAAAACAACAATACCTTTCGAATGATATAAATAAAATTCCGTCAAAAATGGCTAGCTAAAAAGTCGAAATTTGTCTGAAGAAAAAAAAACCCACCCCGAGCACAAATATTCCGTTACTTTTGTATCGAAAGTCGGAACAAAAAGGCAATGAATAAGACAGAGCTAGCCAAAAGAGACATGATCTAATGTGGTTGAGTGCGGGATGATTGAGAATGATTTTAGCATGTATTTGGCTGTCCGTTGTGTTTGTTCTACGCTGTGCTGCGCTATGTGAATAGGCGGAGTATCTAATGATTTAAATAAGATTTAAAAGTTTGTCCCATTTGACTAGCCCCATTTGTAAAAATAATTGAGGTTTAACTCACGACTTTTCGTTGTCATCAGTGCTAAATAATTTCGTTTCATGTTGTTCTCATTACATAAGAGACGCAGAAGCTTTTAACAAGAACAGGAGTTGCCTTTTGCTCCAAAGTTTGCCAATAACCATTTAACTGATGTCATAGTTGCAAAAAAAACAATAAATATTTTGTCTGTTTGTGTTGTGTTTGCTTATTAAAACCGGTAATTTGCTCTTTTTGCGAGATTAAACCATTTTAAATTAAATATACTTTTTTCTTAACTTTTGTGCTAATTTTTCAATATCATTTTTTAAAAATTTTCATGTGAGTAATTTTTTTTTAACTGCGAGAAGAAAATGCGCCTAAATTTGGCTGGCTAAAATTAGCCAGCCCATCTGCATGTTCATCGAAATACGACAAAAAATAGTTAACTAATTTTTTTTCATATTGCAACAAAAATGTATGAATAAAGCTTGTTTGCATCTGATTATAGTACTAACTGATGATTTTTTTGTTTTAGATGCCACCAATTGTGATAGGAATGAGTTTGCGGATGAAAACTACGGCACAATCGATTTCACAGCAGAACAACGTAAAAATAACGCATAAAAAACTATTTGCTACAACAAAACGTAATTGAATAGGGCTGGTTGAAATAAGTGGCAAGGGAGACTAAATTTCAAATTTAGACTAGAAAAACTAAATTTGAAATTTCTCAACATCAGAGAACATTAGGCGACAAAGAAGATTGGTTGGTTCAAGTTTCAGGTGACAAAAGTCATTCTAAATTCTTTGTTCTGAATCTTTCGCACCAACTTCAAGACCAGAATTTATGTTCACCCAGAAGCAAGACATTCACTTAATATCTTTTATGAACCTTACCGTGTAATATTAATGCCCCATACAGTAAACAAGAGAACGTATAGTTTCTTAAACCTGTACGCAATTCATCAATTAATAAGAGTTGCATTTTGCAGCTAAAGAGTCTGCTACATGAGCAAAAACGGATTATATTATTTTTTCCAGAAGCAAACAATAACTTTTAATTATGTAATAGCAGTCGCGTTTTTGCTTTTTCACTTAAGGTCTAGTAAACTTGAGTCGGAAAAAAGTTGTTTCAGGATGTTAATTTGATTAATGAGATCTTGTGCGGGCAACAACTTGAGTTGAAGTTCATACAAAAAACTCCTGTCTTACAATTTCAGTCTATGGAAAGAATACTTGTCTTACAATTTATATAGAAAACTAATGTATGATAAACAATTATTTAATCGATATTTTTTCAGATATGAAAAAAGTAGCCAAAAAAATTTCATACATTTTTATATATGAAAATTGTATCATAAACATTTTTTCATAGAACAACTTCAAGTTTGATTTAAAAACTGATTTCTGAACTTTTGATGGCAAACTTTCTTCTGTGCTGAAATAAACACTTCACGAAAAAAAACTATTATCAAATTAAGTTTGATATTTTGTGTCTACAAAAAAGTTCAGGTTGAGCTTTTACCCTTAAAATTGTAAGCAAGTGTTTTTTTTTGATAAAAACTTTTGTTTTTTTTTTGTTTTCATATGGTAAGATAAAACTAAGTTTGTAAAATTCAGGCCTAATTTGTCAACCGCAAAACGTTCAAAGTAGACGCTTTCTAGGCATATACTATAAATAACGTTATTGGTATATACTTATGAGTACAAATGTCAACTTTAATTTTCACGGCTAATATCACCAACTGCAGTGTATCTTTTTTTGTTAGGTTTTTTTATTTTGGCGTTTTTGAATGAAACAAAAATTCAAAACGATTTTTGTTTGTATTTTCATTGGTGGAAAAATGTTTGTTTTACAGTTTATAAGCATTCAAAAATTTTTTACGCAATTTTCATATATTTCTGTTTTTTATTTCCAGAATCTGGAAGAAATGATTAGCATAAATGTTCATAGAGGGGGAAGTTGTATATTTTGCTCTTCGCATACTACTTCTTTGGTCACTGAAATTGTATGAAACTGTGTGATAGGCAATTTTTCATAGCATTAATTTGTATGATCCGTTTTTTGTCAATTCGGGAAAAAATCACGGTCGCAAATGTTTGAAAGAAGTAGCTTGATATGATATTCTAAACAGGTGTTAGGATTTTAGACGGAAATCAAACTAGAACTCTATATGAAAATTGTAAGGTATTTTAGACCTAATGTTTTTTTTGCAAAACTAGCATTTTAGACGAAAAGGAAAGGGCTAACAAAACAAATTGCTTTGAATAATTTTTCCCAATTACAAGATAGTATATAAAAGCATTGCATATCCTAAAATTTATTACAAATGGTTTATAAAAAAAATAATCCGATTACCTTAAGACATTATTGAAATGCATAAGTTATACAATTGCGACATGTGACAAAATGATTCGCATTCAAGGAAGACTGAACGAAAGTTAGTTTTCGTCAACGAAACTTATCTGCAGTCAGAAAGCATTTTTTTTAGAGGAAAACAATACAACTATGTCTAATTCCCCATGTTTGTATATTTTTGTATCGATGTCTAAATTCATTTTTCGGTCATGTCTAATTTGCTTACCATCCAATTTCCTAGGCGCCCTTCAAACTAATTGAGCACAAAACTTGTATCAGATATGTCCTTTTTCCAAAATTGGGGGACTTTGTTTTCAGGTGCGTTTTAGTTTTTTCTTTTTTTTTTCAATGCAAAATCAGATAACACAAGCAATTTTCGGAGTGGGTCGGCTGACATATCATTTCAAAAACTTTTCAGCCGTGATTCAAACCGTTGTTTTTTTTCAATATGGCCTAATATCGAGAAAAACAGGTTTAAAAATGTTCCAGACTATAAAATTTTTAGTTACTAACAGATTTGTACAATTAACTTTTGATTTGAAAAAAGTAGCCCATGTGAACAATCTCGCACCTAAATAGACCAAATGAACCTTCTGCCTCCTAGAATCAAAAATCAATATTGAAGCAGCTAGGCCTGCATTTACTATGCTCAAATTGATTGGATAAAAATATTACTTTTAACTAAAAAAACAATCCACTTCCTAAAATAATTTAGGGTGGAGATGATTCTCTTGATTTGAAAAATTATTCGATGAACAAATATTTAGGGATGTATTTTTTTGGTGTGGTAACAACATGATTGAGTCAACAATAATTGGCATTTGCACTTAAGCGTTGAGCATCAAAAAGTTTGCATTTAAACATTAAGCCTCGCAGATCATATGGTTTGAAGCTAGCTCAATTGTGACCGGCAGTTTTAAAAAATATATTTTTGTTTATTGAGAAACAGCGTGCAGTTAAAACATCGTTTTGATTTCAAACTTGGGGCTGCTATATTTTCAAATAGTAATTTGCACTGAAGTTTGATCACTAGAAATGGTCGGAATGAAAAAATATGAAATCAATTGAATTCAAATAATTTTGTTACTGTTACATTAAACTTTTCCGCAACAATTATTCAATGTTCTTTCGAATTTGAAATTTAATAAAAAACACTTTCCTTGTCTATTTTACCCTATGCTCTGTATCGTGTAATTACTTCTGTCAAGTGCTTCAACCATATTTTGATTGTATGATCAGACAGCTAATGTCTGAAAATTGTATGATCAGACGTGAAATTGTGAGAAAAATTCTTTTTCTTGTTCCAGTAATTGCGTCTATAATTGGTCAGTTGATAATTTGAGTTTTGGTCTACGGAGTTTTTAAAAAGCTTTTTAAATCTAGTTAAGATCATGTTTTGTCAGGTATGATCATGTTTGGTCCAGGTATGATCATGTCTTTTCAGACATGATCATGTCTGATCCAGGTGTGATCAGGTCTAGTCCAGATATGACCATATAAAGTCCGGTATGATCATGTCTGGTCCAGGTATGATCATGTCTGATCCAGGTATGATCATGTAAAATCAGATCTGAAGCATACCTGGGACAGGCCTGATCATACCTGGGCCAGACCTGATCATACCAGACTTTTTCCATGTTATCATATCTGTACATGTCTGACTCAGACATGTACAGCGAAAAAAGAGACATGCCACAGGACTGATACAGATCTGAAATTGGTATGAATTTTCGAGGTCCAGATTTGAGGTCCAGAAGTAAATGAATGAAATATCATCACTGCGTTCTTCAAATTTAAAGATTTTGTATTTGTTGTGTAGTTACAAGTATACTAGGTGTTTACAGGGCACTAAACATAGAGGTGCATCGGTTTTATTAACTGAAGTTATGCAAACTTTGAAATATATCATATATATAAAAGAGAAATCAATTCAATGAATGAATTGATAAACCAAAACATTACTTGAAAATTTAGTGCACTATTGCACGTTTTAAATGAAAAAGTTAGAGTTACAAACATCAAATTGTTGCTTTTACACGAAATGAACTGAGAAATGGACAAAAACGATCAAAAAATACTCAATAATTGAGGTCTAATTAGTGATATGTAATTTCAACTTTTCTTCTTTTTCAAAAGCCGTCTACAATTCTTGTTTTGTCTGGAACCCGAAGTAGAACTGAATTATTCCATTGGAACACCGGAGTGAGGTCTATCTTGCAACCAGTTCCAGAACTCTTTGTCAAAATCATCTTTGTGCAGCCTGCAAGGTTTTCCATGATCGAGGCACTTCTGAAACGCACTTCTCACATCGTTATGTGGTGCGTACATAAGGCAGAACGCCAGTTTTTTGAAGTTCTCGTCAGTCAAAGCTGACGAATATTTGGATCCTAGAATTATTCTGCTGAAGAATAAGGGCTTTATGTATTCCACGGTTTCATTGGCAATGTGTCCCTCAATCGATTCTTGCAGTACCTTTTCAAGACTATCAGGTAAAAAACTCGGAGGAAGCAGATGACCATTAGGTTGTAAATTCCTGTATTCGCAACGAATGTCCTCGGCAATGAAGTCCTCCAAGTAACTTTTATGCTCAACGAAACCATTCTTAATGAGAAAATCAATCCATGTTTTACCAAGCTTGCTCATTGCTCTGGCAATTACATTTATTTTCGGAATTGTTACTGTTTTTTCTGTCAAACTTTGCAGCTCGTTTTTGCTGAGAAGATCAAAACAAGTTGAGCCGACTCCTGCAAAGATTCCACTTTTTGTGTCGTCAGATTTCACGCTTAAAGTTGGCTTACAATCAGCGGCACCAGGGAAGTTGCATAGAACTTTAGCCGGATATACATCGTTGCCTCTCATTTGGAAGGTGATTGTTGCCTCTCTTTTCTTTTGCGTTTCTTGCTCAAACTCCAGCTGAGTAGCCGTATCAAAAGCTGAAAGAAGAATAGAAGGGTCGCTTAAAGTCCTTAGAAAAGCTCATGCTATGCCCACTCTTTTCTACAGTCAATTGTGGGCGTTTTAATGCCCATCATTTTTTATCTTGCGCAGATATTTTTCGTAGCAGGTTGAAATACGAGGTCTATGATTTCAAGACTTTGTGAAATTCATTGCTGCACAAATTCCTTTTTCTTAAATTCAGCCTATTTTGGTTTTAGAAATAATTCAAACAAAAAAAATTGAATCACATGTTCGACCATGAAATGGAAATAAACTCAAAAAAAAGCGTCAATCGTTGAGTTTTCTGAGTGCTCTGCAATTTTCTCAATTTTTAGAGCTTTAAATTCAATAATAGCCGACATAGAGCTTGGAAAAAGTATCGACTAGAAGAAAAACGATGAAGAGCAACGTTTTTTTTGAAGCCTTTAGAAAATTGAAGGACGATTAAGATTTATGATTCACAAACATCATTTCGAACTGGCACGTTTTGACATCTGCTAGATAATTTGAAAAATAAAAAAACTGGATAAATAAACTTTTTCTTTAAGAATTCTGAGACATTAAATGCAATTTTAAAAACAAAAGTCATTTTTTGTCTCACTTGAGTTTTTATTGCAAGGGAGCGTAATTGCCATCAAAATGATCATCGCCAAACAAAATCGACAAATAGATCAAAATTGTGATTTTGAGTGGTTTCAGTTATTTTTTTTCCGAAAAATAAATTTGCTCTAACTGAGTTGAAACTCAAATAAATTTTTATATCAAATAACTAAAGTTAACTAACTAATTAAAAGAATTTTAATTTTCAAACCATTTACAATTTTTTTTTGTAAATTTTCTCCCCATTAGCTGAAGCAAGAATAAACTGATGTAACTAAGAAATTTTTTCAGCAGAGGCTAATTCGCTGTTGTATAAGACAAAACAATACGTGCAATAAGAAGTCCAAATTGACTCCAAGCTGATCAGAAAGCCCGCAGCACGTCTCATGATAAATAATATCAGCTGAAAACGTGATTAATAAATACCATTCGATGTGCTCGATACTTTGGCGTTATATGTTTCAAATACAATGTTGTTTCCAACAACTAATATGCCTGAAATTTTTTCAAAGCTATAATAAAGATAGACAAAATTTTTTTTGGACATCAAACCTGAAGTTGTTTTTTTTGCTAGAAAAATTACCCAGCATCATTTTACCTAGCATCATTTTACAAATTACTATCAGGTGTTTTTTCTCGATTTAGTTTTTTTTCTCGCTATGTCAAGATACTCCTTATTGATTTGTATTTTTTTCCAAATAAAAAAAAATTTTATTTTGGTGTTAATCGCTGGAAAAGTGATTAAGAAATACCATTCAATGTGATCCAGACTTTGCTAATCCATTGGCAATATATGTTTCAAATAAAATGTTGTTTCCAACAACTAAAATGTCTGGCATAAGCCCGAAGTTTTTTCAAAACTATAATAAAACTTACAGAAAGTGAAGCAAAAGTTTTTTTAAAACATCAAACATGAAGTAGTTTTTTTTCTAGAAAACATTTGTTTTTATTTAACATCATTTTACAAAATACTATCAAGTGTTTTTCTTCAATTTAGGATTTTTTCTGGCTGATGTCAAGATATTTTTTATTGATTTATCTTTTTTTCCAAATAAAAAAAATTTTTAAACTGGCTTTCACTCCAAAATGCACTACCTTAAAAGTTCACCAGTAAAATTTTGAGATTTGAGCTTTTTGTTCTTAATTTCATTTGAAAGCCAGGATGCTGGGTTTTTATGACTTCTGGAGTCGTGGCAATTCCAGCGGCAATTATGTATAAACATTTTCATACAAAAGAGCAAATATTGACAAAAAACTTCGAGGATCGATATAACAACTTCGAAAAAAAGGTTGTTTTCTGAGGTTTGTGATTTTACACTTTGTGTGAAAGCACTAAAAAAATTGTTTCTTTTTTCTAAACGGAATACAAAAAAAATAAAGCAAGCTAATCTATGAGCAAATTGTATAAATTGATTTTTAACTTTGCGTATAGTTTACACAAAGTTTTAATGGTTCTTTGAGCAGCAATAGATGGTAAATTTGTTTTCGAGCACGTTTTTTAATTGACCAAGCCAACAGACAGTAAGAAAAATGTCAATGAACGCAAGAAAACAAAAAAACTTGTTTTGAAAAGTTTTGAAAAGCTTTGAACTTTCGAAAATCAAAAAAATTGCCTTGAAGCTGTTTGAATTTCTAGAACGTTTGATGACTTTTAAATGTTCGACAAGAGCTGCCCAGTTTGAACCAATGGAGGGGGTATTTTTTTTCAACAGGGAAATCTGAAAACCTAAATCAAGCAACATCTCTAGCTGAATTTTTTCCTTATTCGATGCAAGAGTTAAATTTAACCACGAAAGTTTTTTTTCGCCATATTTTTGAGGAAGCAAGGAAATAAAATGAATTATAATTTTCAAGTGGCCTCATTCATAAAAAATTTACAAACAATTAACTCCATTAACTCCAGTAATCTCTGCAAAACATAAATGTTAAAACCTTGCTCTAGTGGCACAAATATCACAAAGTGCATTATGATTTCATTACTCTTGTAGTTAGTTAGAATGGAAAAATCGCAGGATCAATTGAGCAATCTCTCTCCCAATCTCGCGTGGGGGGGGGGGGGGGGGGAGAGATAGATCAATAGGTACTTGAGACATGTTTATAACCACTTGAAAATAGTTTGAATGACGTGAAATCATAAAACATATTTTCCAACGACTGTATAAAGCCAAAATTTACAATATCAAAGCTCAAAAGTTTCATTCAGGTTGAAAAAAGAATCAATAAAACAGGCATAAAAAGCGACTTTTTTTCTTTCTTAAAATGACTAAAAGCTTTAGCGTACAATATTAAGGTGCTGCCGAGAACCGTTTTTGCTATTCAGATACAAGACTAGAGCACCAACCCTGGTAAATCGCTTTCCTCGATGAGGCTATGGTCCCTAAAACAAAAATTTGCAAAAAAAAAATTTTTTTTCATAAATTTCGAATTTTTTTTTGAAATTTTTTTTTCGATACTCATATAAAATAAACTTCAGTCGATTAATTGATTGCGTGCTGTAAACACATCATCCATCTACTTGCGTTTGCTGACGTCTTTTTGTAGAGTTTTTTCGTTTTTGCTGGGGGGGGAGATAGCTCAATTGGTCATTACGGGGGGGGGGGGGGGGGTTTGAGATTGCTCAATTGATCCAAATCGCAAATTATCATTGTGCTGTAGATAAACAAATTCCGTATCCAAGCATGAACTTAAAATTTCAAATTGAGTGATTCGTATTCCGCGTTAAACATTATTGTATTGCGTATCAGCATTATGTGGATTCCGTATCCGTTGCGACTCTGCGTCCAATAACAAAACATCGCAAGGTAATAAATGAAGAAAAGTCAAATTGTCACCGAATAGGGGAAGTCCAAAACATTATGAAAATCAGTGGGCCCGAATTATAATGAAGTGGATAATGGAATCCACAAACGAATTGGAAAAAAATGATAACTTCAGTATGATTTCAGCTTGAACAAATATAAAAAGTGTTTGTTAATTGAATTTAAAAAACTGAATTTCTGTAATTACTAAAACACAAGTGCTGTAATATCTGAGAAAAAACCCTGATTTCGGGGGAAAAATCAAATCTAAAGTTTCTCCAAACCTTCGAAAGTCGAAAAGAAATGCATGATAAATAGCGTTGTTGATTATTAACAATTTCCCGGGTTGTCCTTCATAGACCGAAAATGCAAATCATACAATTCCATAAAATAAGCGTATGAAAAAATTATACTTATAAAGTTTCCATACTTTTTTGCAAAAATGGTATAAACGAATTTAGAAAGTATTTTATTTCCTTTTTTTGCATAAAAGCCTGTGTATCGTCATAAAAAAATGTCGGCAAAAAATGCTACTCATACAAATTCCATGCATATAAAACTTTTTGATGGCGACAGTAAAATTTTCGTGAAGCAGTTTTAAAATTTTCTACCAAATTTTTTATTGCTTTTTTAAAAGCGCAAAACGAATTTTGTACTTTAAAAAAATTTCCATTCAAATTTTGGTGCGCATTTTGTCGTCTTGAATACACTAATTTGGATAATTTTTCCATTTCTCTGGATATAATTTTTCAAAAAACGCTCAAAAAGCTTACTTCTTTTGTGTTGTATAATTTTGTATGCCTTCATATTTTTGTATAATTCAAATTTTAAATTAAAAATTAGGCATATTTTTAAATACTTGTCAAAATTTAGTATTTTGCTACCATCTTGATAAAGTAAGACTTGATTATGTAAAACATCTCTATTCTGATCACTTCCATTGTATTATACATGCAATCCCGCAATAAAAATCTTTGTGACACTACATTTGAGTAACAGGGTCTTTTTCATTCGTTTTCGGTTACGAACACAACCCAAAAATTTTTAGAAGACACCAAACAACAAAACCACTATAAAATCTTTACAAAACATCCTATAAAAAATCTTTAATCAGAGGTTTTTGATGTAATTTCTTTACTTGTGGAATTGCATGAAAAGTATATTATTCGCATTTTCCATATATGAATTTTGTCTAAATAGCATTTTTGCTCAAAATTGTATCTGGGGTACAAAATAACTATATAGCCAGTAGAGGGATTAGGAAATTTGAAATTTCGTCCATCTTTTGGAAAGTATTTGCAGTGAAAATCAGTTTGACAAAAACATCAAGGAATTCATTAGAAAATTTACGGCTTCAAGAAAGCTCGGTAAAATCAATTTAAGAATATATTAATGACCAAAATCTAGAATTTTTACTGAATCTTTGTAAAAGGAGCACAGAAGTTTGGACCAAAGCTCGGATGATCTAACTACCTGTAAGAATTGCTTTGAAATTCTGCTGGTTGTGTTTGATGCCATTGGCGATAGTGTAGAACATGTTGTTGTTTCTCAAGTATTCATATCGCTCTTGCCAATTTGGGAACTGGCCACATGATATCACTAGGCGGAATTGGTTGCCTTCAGCCAAAGATTGTTGCAACTTAAGGTAATGATCGTTGGCAGTGAAAAACTGGCCGATTTTCGATCCCAATCGAAGGGGAGCCACTACCTGCAAAAAGAAGGTTGCTAGTGTGTTATGAATTTTCCTATAGAAAAGTATAAGATCATGTTTTTCTTCAAAATAATTTTGAAAAAAAACATGACCACACTGCAATTTTTGAGTAACTCTAAGCAAAGATTTTTCTGCTGTACTTACATTGTCTTCTTTGGTCAGGAAAAAGCCAGTATCAGAGAAAACAGTTGTGCTGAGTTCGATATAGTCGTCATGTAGTTCGAACGTTCGCGTCTGCAGATTTTCCTCATTCTTTTTGTAATCCTTGCTTTGCAGTTTTTGTAGGTGGAACTTCACTTTCACCGGCCTCAGAAACACACAGTCTGTATGTTGTGTTAATCGGAGGATGTCTGTTAGCATCTTTGCGCGGAAGCTATCTCGGTCGTTGCTGCTTGCAGTTGGTAATGTTTTGGACTCGTCATTTGCTATGCCTTCGTTAGACTTCTTGCCTTCGTTAGACGTCTGAAAACCAATTATTTGTTAGTGATGGCAATCTATACATGTTTTTGAGTTTGGCATAGCGGATATCGAGTGGGGAAAGGCTAGGTGGACCTCTTTCTCAGTTTTTTTTACCAAACTTTTGGTACTATTTTTCGACATCTATTTTTGGCTGACGGACTTTAAAAACTGTCGCAAAATGCCTAGGCGCCAATTTATACTAGTTTTAAGTGGGTATCGCACTCCACAATTTTTCGGTCAGCGCAAAAAAAAGAGTCAAAATGCTTTGAAAAAACACTTCTCGCAAAATCAATTTTCTTGACCCAAGAAAAGGTCAAAAAAACTTTCAAAAAAACTTTAAAAAATCAACCCTGTCTCCCCCTCGAGAAAATCCTAGATTGGCGCACACAACCTACAGCATTTGGGTTTGCGGGCTTAGGAATTAAGTCGAAATCTTTCCCTTGAACTTCGAGCAACTCCAGCGATACTGCTCTTTTCCCAATGACACATCCTGGTGGGAAAACAACAGCGACCGAGGTGACACCCTTGAAGTTTTTTACTGGAACAGTTTTTCCTTCTGAGGTCACAACCGTCTTGAGTTCGCTTGTCGGTACTGTAGTAGCCCCAACTTTTTCATCAAAAGGGAATTCTTCTGTCCGCCTAGTCTGAAAACCAGTAAAGTTTATTCATATTTTTTGAATAGGTATTTTGTATAACACTGTTAAGCTTTCTGAATCAAATACTTTGAAGATTGTTAGTCACTACGCCTAAGAATCAATGAAAAAGCTTGTTTTACCGATCACTCGAATACCCGGTCGGGTCGTATTTTCAAAAAAAAATCCAGTCGGTTTTCACTACTTGAAGAGCTTGAATCACAACCAAAAGGGCTTAAGTATGATATCACACCTAATACAGGTGGTCAAGTGTGACAGCATATTTACGCCCTTCTGGTTGTGTTTTGCTTTAAAAAAGAAAGTAGTTTCAGTGTCGCAAAATTTTTTTTTGAATTCACAGACTAAATAACACAAAATTTGATGAGAGGTTAAACTCCCATTGTTATGTTAATTGATTTATAATCTTGTTGAATTTCCGAACCTCGAATAAAAAACTAAAAGAAACATTAGACAATAAATGCACAAGTAATATTATTTTCGAATTGTTTTTTTTTGCTGTCTTAGAATTTCTTCGTTTCAAATATCAGTTTGATCGAAAAAATACTTTGCTCAGCAACCGGCTATTCTTGTTATTTAAAAAAAAATAATATTTTGATGCAGATGAGTTCTGTCTCGAAAACTATATTTTCGATTAACTGAGAAAATTGGCTGAAAAAAGATTAATTTTTTTGTGGATTTTTGTAAATGAAAAAACCACTCATCTAGACATTATTTCAAGCAAGAAAGTACATTACAATAGAATTTTACTCATAAAACTTTGTTGCAGATAGATTTTTTATCTGGGCAAAACCAACAAAATTGGAATAATTCCTGACCGGTTATTTTCGAATTGGGTTTGCATTAGACAAAGACAGATATATATTTCATAAAATTTGGTTGAAGAATTTCAACAGGAGCTATTTTATGTACAATATAAATTTAATTTTAAAAAATTTGTAAAGGAAAAGCAATGCGCAATATTAAGTTATTTTTTTTCCATCTGTAGGAAATAAAATTAAAATTCACTGGACCTCTGGATTCACTGGATTATAAAATTCAAATTCAATTATGATCAATCAGTATTAATATTCATGTTTGCAACTGATTGAGGAAATGTTTATTTCAAAATCTGGCCTTTCATGAAGCTCATAGAAATTTATCTCGTAGAAAAATCATGTTTTAAATAGTTTATTAATCATTGCTATACAACGTGCATTTTTTTGATTAATTGTTCAAAACTGCAATTCGGATTGTTAAAAAAAATCATTTACACTAAGAGTTAACTGAATTTACCCCGAAATATTAATTTACCTTCGGATTGACAAAAGCACTTTTAGGAAACGTTTCTCTGCGTTGAATGTGTTGAAAACTGAGGGCTCCAGATGTATTGCTTGCCACGTGATCAACTTCCTTTCGTTACCGAAAAGATGAGACGATATTTACTTTATTGTTCTTATTATTTGAACTAAATTTTAGCTTTTGAAAAACGTTTCAAGTTTTTTTAATGAATACATTTAAGAAATGTTCAATTTTTATTTCGCTATCAATAAGAAGACGCCAGCAGTCATTTCATAATTGATTTGAAACAATTTTCTTCAGAATTCAGAACCTTGAAACTTGAAGGTGCATGCAAACCCTGGCTCAAAAATGTTTCGAACATTAGTCAAGGATTTTTTAAAATTCTAGTTTCTTATTTTTTTTCAGCTTTTTAGTTTCTCAAAAAGTTATCTTTAGGGTTTTTATAACATGTTGATCTTTTTAAAAAATCTTTTCAAAATAAATTATTAGCCTTTATTATCATAGATCTCAAAAAGCAAAATAGAAAAAACAAAAATTGACAAAAGCTGAATTTTGAAAAAAAAATCCACTGGAGCTTGATCTCAAACTCAAACATTATCAATGAAGACAATTATTCATATTTGCAACTGATTAAAGAATTGAGCATTTCAAAATGTGGCCTTTCATAAATGACATAGAAAATTTTGTAATAGAAAAACCGTTTTTCAAACGTATTATTGTCCGTTGCTATAAAACGTGCAGTTTTTTGGTTATTTGTTCAAAATTGCAATCAGGATTGTTAAGAAACAATCATTTAAACTAAGAGTTAACTGAAATTACCCCAATAAAAATTATAATTTACCTTCCTCTTGTCAAAGGCACTCGTAGGAAACGTGTCTCTGCGCTGAATTTGCTGAATTTTGTGGGCTCCAGATGTATCGTTTTCCACATGATCAGTTTTTTTCCGTTATCGAAAAAATGAGACAATTTTATTATTTTTTTTTATTTGAACTAATATATAACTTAACAAGAATTTATAGAGTTTTTTTTTAAAACTGAGATTATAAATTTTTTCAACATTTGTTTGCCATCAATAAGATGACGCAAACAGTCCTTAAACAATATATATTAAACATTTCCCATCATAATTTAGAATTTTGAAAATTTGTCTGTGTATGCAAGCGCTGTCTCAAAAAAATCGATCATTTTTCATAGAACATTTTTTTTATATTTAAGACTTCTTAAATTTTTTTCTAAGCTCTTTTAATTTCTTTTAAAAAATTTCATTGGGATTTTTTTCAACTGTGTAACTGTAAAATTCAGTCTGCTTGCGTGCTACTTACATAAGGCAAGTTTTGGTTTTCGATCGAAAGGACGCTTGGACAATATGCGCTCGTCAGCATCATTGATGGTCTTTTTTTCTAAGGCACTTGACAGACGTGGTGTCGTTCTATTATGACGCTCGCTTTCAATAAATTATGTCAATGTATTGATCCCCGCTAGTAACCTTCTTCTAAAATTAAAATGTTCACTTGTTTTCAATTGAAAAATTGCGTTATTTTCACCAAATCTCGTAAAAAATGACCTCGGCAGCTACTCGAGTTTTCAACTGAAACACTTGATTTGTAAAAATGAGAGAATTGAATCGCGCACGTAATTTAAGTTGAAGTTTTGTGTACAAAACTAGACAGTTCAATCGGTTTTATAGATTATCTAGTCGATTGCTCACTTGTTGTTCCGACTTTTGATACGAAAGTAAGGGAATATTAGTGCTCGGGGTGGTTTATTTTTCTTCAGACAAATTTCGACTTTTTAACTAGCCATTTTTGACGGAATTTTTTATATCATTCGAAAGGTATTGTTGTTCTGAGCTCAAATTTGAAAAAATATTTCACCAGTTATCATTTTTGTAAAGTTATGGGGGTTTAAAGATTGCCATTTTGGCCAATTTGGGACAATTAACGCGCGATATAACTAGCGCTATTAACGCTTAAGCGGAGATTTAATCCGTCTTAGAAATCGTTAGAAGTCTTACAAAACGGTTGAAGGAAGTTTATTTGCCATAATTGATTTGTTACACGGAGCGAAATCTATCCTTTTGTTTTTAATATGGCGTGTGGGGGGATGATTTTCATAAAAAACTTTAAATTTAAGAAATCTTTTTTCATTTTGTCTTATTTCATTTAGTTTTCCATTCTTATTACTGCTACATAAACCTTAAAAGGCACTCGGAACAGTCAGGGCTTCGCCCTGATACGAGCATTCTTGTTTTTATTCTTATATTCAAGTACAAAACACTTGAAATCTCAAAACTACAAAAAAATATTAAATAAAAAATCCGTCAGCATTATAATGCTCTGTTTGCTGCACTTGTAGGAAAATACTTGAAAATTCAAATGTGATTTATGGAAAATCAGTTAACTCTCGTGCTCATAACTCACGAGACTGTGTGTCAAGTAAAACACTGAAACACTTGATTTGTAAAAATGAGAGAATTTGTCGACCTTTTTTTTAGGCGGACCGAATTGATTTTCTGAGCTCCTCCAAACCACTATAAAGACCCTGTTTTGAAGACCCGCAGGCAAAATTTTGAAAAACAGGCCAAAAATAGCGTTTTTGGGCTTTTTTGGAAAATTTCGACCAAAAAATTGCGTTTTTTCGGCGCGCGCTACCCTTCAAAATTAGTATATATTGGCGCCAAAGGCGCCTTTAGAACAATTTTAGGGTCGGTCGGCCAGAAAAGGTACCAAAGGAAATCAGGGGCGGATCTAGGATTTTCCCGGGGGGCGGATTTCAAAAAAGAAAAGTTTAGAAAATTTTGATTTTTTTTAGGTTGACGAAATTGATTTTTGAGCTCTCCTAACGCAATAAAAAAACCGCTGTTTCGACCAAATTTTCAGAACTGCAGACAAATTTTTGAAAAAACAGGTAAAAAAAGCCGTTATAGGGCACTTTTTGGAAAATTTTGACAAAAAAATGCGTTTTTTTGGCGCGCGCTCCTTCTCAAAGTTAATATATATTGGCGCCGGCAGGGGTCAAATCCCTGAGCAGGGGGAGGAGGCGTCCGCGCCCCCCCCTTTAAATCCGCCCCTGATTGAAACTCACTGAAACAATATTATCACCAGTTCTATATATCATATCTCAATTTGAATAAATCTTGAAAAAAGCACAAAGAAACTTGATTATCACACCAATAATTTGTGTCCAACTGAGTCTAAAAAGAAGCGTATCTTAAACTCCAGGTTTTACTGTTTTCATGTCCATGATTTGTATTCTTTTTTAGATTCCGAAGTAAACCTACTCTATTCGGAATATGACTGCTGAAATTGTTACGCTGGAGTCGTTCAACTCCAAGTTTGAAGACTTCCATCGCCTAGTACAATTTCAAAAACCAGACTCGGTGAGAATGGCTAAACTTAAATGCATAAAACTGAAGATTATTAGTAAGCAAGATTACTTTTTTAAAACAACAGTGTTTGCATAAAATCAATGATTGCTATCAGGGAACCGAACAAACCACAAAAAGAAAATACAAAAACATCAAGTGAATATGCTAACTGATAAATTGAATTGTAATACCGAACTGCATATGACCCTATCATACAAAAGAAAAGGCTGTTTCTTTGATTTTTCGCTTCGATATCGTCATAATCATCTCAGCTCCAGCATCTTTTCAATTCCGTCATAATTCCAAGTAATTTTTTCTAATAAAATAGTTGAGCTCAAATGATCAATTCCCACTTTAACTCCATCATACCATCATAACTCAACGCTTCAAGCGCAGCGTATAAACTTAGTTCTATGAAACAAATTTAGGACTAAACCGTAATCAGTTCGTCTAAAACTAGTTTAGTATTAAATTGTGTTGAAGTTGTTAGTTCCCTATTAATTCAGATCCTTATGCCGCACTCAAGAGTTTTGGTTCAGAAATCAACCAAACAAACTTGATTGCTAAAATCCTTGTATAACCATTATTATTGCGATAATATACATGATTGCTAGAAACTTTTGAAGAGCAGAACACATAAAAAAATGAGAGATTAACGGGAAATGAACTTTTTGACCGCCAAAAAATGTTATGTGTCAAAGCCAGAGTTGGAACCAGGCCCAGTCTTCTTACGGGCTGGGCAGGGCCGGGCCGGGGCAGGCCAGGGCCGTGCTCGGGCCTCATTGTTAAGATAAGCAACCGGGCTGACTTTCAAAAGAGGTCACCACTTTCACCGTTTAAGCTACAAATGCCCAGAGGGAGCGTGACTTCAACAGGGGTGGGCAAATCCGGACAGAAAAGCGTGCCCTTCTTTCTGCGGCAAATTACAGCTAAATTGAACTGCTAGGATCGGCTGCCGCCAAAAAACTGATTAAGTTTTTTACAATTCACATGTGAATTTCAAGTTATTTTTTGTTAGGAAATTCGGGTTTTCATGAAAAATTGGCCCAGGCCGTGCGCGGGCTTGTATTTATTGTTTTCTAGCCGGGCCTTAAAATCGGGCCTGGTTCCAAGTCTGGTTATTGCATAACACAATTAATCCGTTATTTAAACAAGACTGCTCGTATCAGGGCGAAGCCCTGAATGTTCCGACTGCCTTTTAAGGTTTATGGAGCAGTAATAACATTAAAAAATTAAACGTAAGAAAAAGTAAAATGAAAAAAAATTTTTTCTAAAATTTGAAATTTTTAAATTAAAATCATCCCCCCACACGCCATACAAAGTACAAAAGGATAGATTTTGCTCCTTGTAACAAACCAATTATGGCGAATAAGCTTCTTTTAACCAATTTGGAACAATTTCTAAGGCGGATTAACTCTCCGCTTACGCGTTAAAAGCGCGAAATATATCGCGCGTTAATTGTCCCAAATTGGCCAAAATAGCAATCTTTAAACCCCCATAACTTTTCGAAAAATGACCACAGGTGAAATATTTTTTCAAATTCGAGCTCAGGACAGCAATACCTTTCGAATGATATAAAAAAATTCCGTCAAAAATGGCTAGTTAAAAAGTCGAAATTTATCTAAAGAAAAAAAAACCCACCCCGAGCACAAATATTCCGTTACTTTCGTATCGAAAGTCGGAACAATAGATGCGGAAGATATAAATTTGTGTTTTTGTTCAGTCACATTTCGGCAATCAAAATTATAGATTTTACCAAATTGAAGATATTAAATACTTGAATTCAAATGTAAAGAATTTTTAGCCTCAAATAGTTTTGGTGAAGTTTTGGGGGTTTGAAAATTGCCAATTTGACCATGATCTGGACTAATTTATGTGCGCAGTGAAGATTTAATTTCTTTTTCTGAAAGAGTAATGAAATTTTCTCGTGCCTGGCAAATTATCCTGCTATATAAAATTAATCCAAATTGACTTGAGGCATACTATTAAGGTCTTATTAATTTCATACTGCTCAAACGTTTGTCTAAAATTTATGGTGTTTCGATATTTCTTACCATCAACTATTCATTGCCAATTAAGGGTCAGTCGAATGTCGAATCATGCATTGTTCTGCGCTGATATACGAGCAGACTTTTTTCATTATTTAAAGAAATATTTTTGCACTTACTACTTCTGCCGTAACGGACGTTTGATCATTGTTTCACAACTTGTTCAGCACAGTTAGCGTAAACCGGTAAGCTAAGCAGACATATTTGCATAGCAACCCTTGTGTATCTAGAGTGCATAAATTGCGTGAAATTATTTTACAGCAGTGTTTAATTTTAAAATTAGATTTTAAAAAACTTAACCTTATTGGATTAATTGAAAACTATATGATCAGGATTATTTCTCAACTGGATAGAAGATAGTTTTTTTTTGCTTTACTGGGAATTTTCTGGGAATAACTGGGAATACCTAACTGGGAATAACTGGGAATACCTAACTGGGAATAACTGGGAATACCTAACTGGGAATAACTTCAAATTCCATTTTCGAAAAATCGAATTTTTAAATTTTGCTTAATCCACAATATGGGGTTTGTTTTCTCGAATTTGTTTCCTAACTGCATGTTTGAACGGTGACAGCGGTTTAAAAGAACT